TGGGAGACCTCTGAAGCAGAAGACGGACACCAGGCAAAGAGTAGACAAGGCTGAGGGACCAGAGCAGTGAAGGCTGAATACAGACCATGGGCAGGAACACAGTGTAAAAATATCCCTCTAAATGTCTCCCACATGGATGAGTGTAACAAGTGTGTCCATTATCATTGTAAAGATATTGGATAATTGGTTCTGCTGTTTGCATTTCATGCTGAAGTAGCTGGGTTATTTTTGCAGTGACTTCTGCAAAAGTATTCATTGACCCCAGGGAAGGCAGCATTGCTGGAGGAACATGGATTACCCTGAGACTGGATGGTGAGTTTCCAGTGGCTTTTAATGACTGTTGGAAATCTTGGGAAACGGTGCCTAAGACTTGCTAGCAATAAATCCTTAAAGAGGGTTAGAAACCCCCAGCATTATGACATGAGCTTTTTGTCATCTCTTCACTTGACTCCAGTAGCTGGGGCTTTAAGAACACTACTAATTAACATTTGACTTGAGATAACATCCAAAAAATTGGCAACAGAATCACCCACCTAGTCCACAATTGTTAATGCTGGCCGCTGAAAACTAGGTGCCTCCATAGGTGGTCTGACTTCTCCGTGTTTCTGAGCAGTGGCTCAGATGGTCCCACTGCATCCAGGAGAAACGTGGCCATTTACTGATGCCCAAATACCTAGTTAGCTGCTTGATTTTAGTGCCCGAGTTGAAATACTTTGGTGTCGTTCTTCATCATTGTGCAACATACCCACGAAGCGTGTGGAAATCCCACCATTTTTTTCACTCGCTTAGCCCCGAAGTAAAATTTTTCATAAGGTGGAAGCTAGTGGAGAAAGGGTTCATTGTAAGCAGAAATCTGCACAGCGATATAAAAGCCTATGAAAACATTTCATCCCAAAGAAGGCACATGACTTCCTGGGAAGACAGACTACTTTGAAACGTGAAAGAAATATCCCCATGCTTGATTGAAAGTCCCAATCAGGGATTTTAGTTCAGTACTGCTAGACAAAATTTTAATCATGTCCCATATGGAGTTTAACAGCTATGCTGCTGTCAGAGTATAAAATGCTCCCATACTTACCAAAGGTTTCTTGCTAATAGATTGCTTAGGTTTAACATCTGACCAGCTCAGTCTCTGGTACTCAACCAATGGGTCTCCGTTGGAAGTGTCCCTGGTAAATCCAACTCTGCCTAGAGTTGTGTGTGATGTCCACCCTCTGCATTTTGACGTATCCACCATAAGATGCAAAACAAGGTAAATTATGTCAAAGATTCAGAAAAGACTTTCTTGCCTGCATGTGCTATTTCTTATGCTTTCTTTTTTATCATAAAGGGCTACTTGAATTGGTAGCGTAAAAGGCCTAATGAAATCCAATGCCGCGAAAGGCATCAAAACTGAAAATAAGGCGTAACTTTTTAACATTGTGTGAAATTACTAATGGAAGAGCTTGCCAAGTTGTGCATGCATACTCACTGGTTGTCTTTCTTACAGGGATGATGTTACTCAGCCACAAGTTTTTGGTTTTAATAGCTTGTGTGCATGCAATAAAAAAAGAGTAATTCTTCCTCCTGGAGGAATGAACGAGTGAAACTCTCAGGCCTGTATCATGCAGGAGGACATGAAGGTCCCACCTAGCTTTTAAAGGTGTTAATCCTAGTGAATACTTCAGTATCCCTTCACGTAGGGCAGGGTGGCCAAACTCCAGCATGTGTGCCACAAGTGTTACAGGCAACCTCTGTGCATAGGACACAGCGGACCAGGGAGGGGGCAGGCACTACAGCTGCAAATTGGGTGGAGAGCAAAAAGCAGAGAAGTAGATCAGACGAGGAGCACAGGGCAGGGAAGAGAAAGCTGAGCAAAAGATGGTCAGGGAAAGGAGAGTGGTACACAGGGAGAGCATGGGGCTAATTTGCAGCATGCCTAATGAAAAGGGTGGCCCTCATTGACATAGGGCATAGGGTGATTAAGCAAGGCTCAGAGAGAGTTTTGTGAACAACGATGCCTGTGCTTTACAAAGGTAATAAGAGAATTCATTGTTAAAGGGACGCGGTGCTCAGCGTTACTTGGGTTTTGCATTGAAATCTACCCCAGGCTGGTCGACTCCACTTTCGTCCCCAGAGGTGGTCCCTTCAGGTCAGATTTGGGGCATGTTGGCTGGTGAACAAAAGCTTGCACTGCCACTGCCCGCATGGTAACTGTCCTGTGGCTGCACCTTACCCACCAAACTGTCACGCTGGTTGGCACGCTCTCCTAGGAGCGATGCTCACAATCTGGGGTTTCAAGTAAAACGACCCATTTACTCATTGGCTGTTATCCCCGTCTCCCATTCAGCTCTTCATTAATGCCAGTTATCTCCCGAGCTCAGTCTTTATTTGGCCTCGTCCCTCTCCTGAAGAAAAAACAATGATGTTCCAGTAGAGGGGTTCTGCCTTGGGCAAAAGAGATGGGCTGTCCCACCATCCTTCACAGGGCCCAGGACACGATTTTGAGTCCTCTGCTTTTGTTGCATGCCTCATGCCTCCCCCTCAAACCCTGCTGCTTGCTTTCTTTTTCCTGCTTTGCGGACATGTCAGCTGTTTCGAGGCCTCTACCATTTTGTCTGGTTGAGCTCTTGTCTCTCTACTGTGCTCAGGTGGGCTATCCACTGAGGTCTCAGTCTTGGGTGTTTGATCCCATCTCATAATCCTTACAACCCGCCTCGGACAAAGGGCAAACAAAGAATTTGAACACATCCTTAAGGCCCAGGCCTGTTGGCTAACCACTGGACTATTTTTTTTTCCCTCCCATCATACAATATCTTCCAAGAATACTGCTCATTTGTGAATTGATTCGGCTGGGCTTTGCTGAGAATCGGAGTGTTAAAAGTACCCAGTTAATCCCAGGTCCAAGCAACTCCTACTCCTACAAAGGAGGAGAAGTTTCTTTTGGAAGTGGGCATCAGCTCTTCTGGTGTAACTGTTAGCGCTGCATGCACCTGTAGTGGGGCAAATAAGCTAAATCAATATAAACACATGTTGAATGAAACAGGGTAAAAGTTGCAATGGTTTTGCTAAGCTTGTATTGCAACCCCCCCTTGCTTTTCACTTTCATTTACTTGCACTTTCTCGGCAGTTTGCTATACTTCCAGTAGAGCGCATATGTCTATGTATGTGGCGGATTATTCTCATTTTGTGTATCAATTTATAGACCTGGCTAAATCAGTAGAAGAATGGGCTCTAATTTTTATTACAATCCCTTCAAAGCTACAATGAATTTTGCCTGGGAAGGATCTGGCCTGTGTGTTAAAGCCTGATCTGTTTCTTTTTAAGGTCCTTGCTGCAAGAGGGAGTGTACCATCCAGAAGTGACTTCTAACGGACAGGTGATAAGCACCTCGGGTAGGATGATTGGGGACAACTGCACTTTTAAGGTGAACACCGACTAAGAATGTGAAATACATAAGGATAATGGATGGTGGGTGCAGTATAACAGACTGGTACCAACCAGACATGCATTGTTTGAGTCTCAGGGGAGATATTCAGAAAGTGTGTTCTCTGGGCAGGTGTGGGGGTGCCATCTAATCCCAGACAAGATGACCTAGGAGGTTCTTATAGCCGTGGTTACATCAAAATGAGGCTCCCAGTAAACCCCTTTTTGCACTTTTAAGGCATACAGGGCAAAACACTAATATTACAATTATGATGAGAAGCCTTAATGTCTTAAAATTGGTACAAACACATGGTCAGAACCAGCCCCTACTAGCAATTTATAGTTTGAATGTAGAAAGGAAGGGGAAATAAAGAGGTCAGAGGACTTCTCTAAGGCCATCCAATACTGCAGAGCAGGACCTAGTGATTACAGTAGACCAGAAGCTGCATGCGAGTCGTAAGGGCGCTCTTGTTACAAGCCAACAGCGCCCTGGGTTGTATTAACGGGGGTCTCACTTGCAAATCAAGCGAATTGATTCTTCCACTCAATCCAGTACTGGTGAGGCCTCACCTGGAGCACTGTGCCCAGTTTTGGGCCCTGTACTTCAAGAAGGATGTGGACAGATTGGAAAGGGTCCAGCACAGAGCAACAAGACTGACTGGAGGCTTGGGCAGCATGCCTTATGAGGAAAGGCTGGAAGAATTAGCATGTGTTTAATTTGTAGAAGAGAAGACTGAGGCGGGGGCTTTGATAACAGTCTTCAAATATCTGAAGGGAGATGGGCTTTTCTGTGTGGCCATAGGGGACAGGACTAGGAGCAAGGGCCTCAAGCTTCAGCAGGGGGAAATGAGTTTGGAGATTAAGAGGAACTTTCTAACTTTGAGTGTGATCAAGCATTGGAAAACAGGTTTCCTAGAGCAGTTGTGGCATCGCTGTCCTTGGAAGTTTTCAAAAGCAGGTTAGACAGACACTTGGCTGGGACGGTTTAGTCAGGGATGATCCTGCCTTGAGAAAGGGGCTGGGTTAAATCATCTTGCAAGTGCCTTTCTAGCCCTACTGTCCTATGATCCAGCAGATCAGTGGCATAGACTGTATTTGACTCCAAATTTCCTGAATCCCAAATGAACACATTACCTTCTAGATTATGTTGCTTTCAACTGAGCATGCTCAGAAGAGTGCATGGGGCACACGAGCACCCCAGCGCATGATATACCAGTATGGGAGCTCAGCATTGAAAGGGTTGGACTCCTTGCGATGTCTCCGGGGCATCCTGAGCCTCATCCATCTGACATCCGATTGCAAACCCAGGGAGATCATCCCATCTTTTGCATTGCTTTTCAGCACTTTGTGATTTTTGGCTTGGTTGCAAATGCTGTTGGAAAAACTGTACTTGTCTTCTCACGTGTGAATGACTACAAGGAATGTGGAGAAAGATGCAGGATACTGCAAAGTTTCTTTTTGCAAACTATGTGCGACTATAGACATGCTAATGCAAGCAGGATCCTGGTAGTTGAGACAGCTGGGGTCTGTTCCCACCTCTGCTGCTGAATGACTTTGGGAGCTTGCCACTGTCCTTTACTCATGTTGGACAAATTCTGTTTTTCCCATGGTTTTTTATCCAATGCAAAATTCAAAAACAGCAAGATAGGTGCCCGGTCATGGGCATGCCCCCTGCTTTGTTTTCTAGAGCAGTTCCCTTCTCACCCAGCTACAGTGACACTAGAGGAATAGCTGCTAGGGTCTGTGCCCCGGGTGGCATTCACAGCAGAAGGGCAACAGTGATAGGGGCTGGTCCAAGTCCCGGCAACAGCAGAGGCCACCACTCTTGCACTCCTCCGTAAGTGGGCACCTGGATCTAGTGCCCTGATCACCCACCCTTTCTTACACCACAGATGTTGGGAACAGAGGGTACTTTTAGCCCCACATAGTCCATGCTCTACCAAGCTCTTGGCCCTACCTAGTTCAAGTGGTTAGGGCACTTTGTAAGGAAGTCGAATCTGTGGGCTTAAAGGTCATTGGCTGAGGCAGGGCTGGAAAGCTGTCTTTCCTGCTTCCCAGACAAGTGCATTCACCTTTAGGCTATTGAGCTAAAAGATGAAATGTCTCTTTGCATTGGTGTCTACCAGATGCTAAAGTTTGCAAGACTTGCACAGAACATATGTGCTGCTCCATGCATATTGGGGGTTGGACAGCAACTTAGCCACATCAGGTTGCTCTGAGCACGAAGTCAGCCCAACCTAGGCCCATGGGTGGCATCCGATGTTAAATCTGTGTAGGTGGCACTTAGTGCCACTTCTGCATCTAGGAGACAGAACAGAACTGGGCCAGGGCTTAGACATCCAAGTGCAGCTCCGATGCATAATAGGCAAAGTGAATTTTGTCCTTTTCCCCCTTTCAATTCCCTTTCTGAAGAATAAGGATAATTGCTCTATGCTCCTACTCTTTTAAACCCTCCAGCTTTATTTTGTTCCCATTAATATTGGGTGACTTCAAAGGGCGCAGGACAAGGTTTATAAAAACAGTTTTGATTTCTAGTGCAGGATAATCGTTTCCCCTTAAGTCGAGATCAAGTGGCATTTGCACAGCAGAATCCCCCACCGTAATGGTTTGCCAGTGATCACCTGTGATCGGAAGTTATGCCTCGCTTTTGTGTGAGCTCCTTTTCCAGCACCGTGCGGCAGAGCCCAGTGTTTCAGTAAATTGCACATGAAAGCGTGCGAGTCGCCGGGCGGTTCAGTTTGCTTGGAGCGCTGATGAAAAATCACCAGGGGATGCCATTAATGAGACACGTGCCAAGCTAAATAAAACACAGTGCGTCTCTTTGTTTTGGGACTGCAATCCGTGAGCCAGGAGTATTAAAAATTAATTTTGCCTCGCCTCTCAGTTGCAAACACCCGCTGCAGGCTGTGACAAGTCTGAACAGCTCGTGGACGGCTTTCCTGTCAGCTGGTGGCCACGGCTATACCACTGCTTTTGGCTGCGTCCTCCGGCCAGCCCCACCCCGGCATGTTGTGCCAAGCTGACCTCGCTGCTCCATGATGATCAGCTTGAGGGAAACTCAATGCTGCTCATCATTAATATTTTAGGCTGCTGTCTCCAGTGGGGTAGAAAGGCAAAGGCCAGCATGTGTGAGAAAGTGCAAATCATTGCAGTGCTGCATCAATGCTGTGAAGTCTGTTTTTAGACTAGCCAGGGGGGTTATCCACACTGTCTACTACCAAGAGAGCCTAAGAGCAGGATAAGGGTCAGAGAGGAGGAGGGAGAGGTGCACAGGATCTGAGGGAGGGTTAGTGGAAGTAGAGAGAGGGATCAGGAGAAGCCTGCTTATTTTTTTTGTAAATTTGGCCCTTATCGGTGCATAGAAGTGTCTGGTAGATTCACAAATGCATGTAGACTCACAAACTTAAACTAGTGGACTTCAATCTTAGAGTTATGGGCCAGGTTGCTCCCACCCCCCTCACCCTCCAGGGAGCCACCCCTCCTCAGGTGATGGGGAAGACAGATGACTGCCAATGTCCGAAGGAGCGTGGCGGAAAGGAGAGAGGAATGGAGCCTACCTCTGTCTGCAAAGGGTAAAAGAGGTGCAGCACAGGGCAGGGAAGAGCCCATATGGAGCCAACCTGCTTGCTGTTGATCCCCTGTGCTGTGGGTCAGATCCAGTCCTGGGTAAGCCTTAGAGCGGTGGGTAGGGACCAGAATATGTTCCCTGGCCAGTCTGGTAGTCCTAACTTACAGAGTCAGGTTCACCTCCTATTTAAGGTGCCTAGTTTGCCAGTCCAGAATTTGCCCTGGGTGCTTACCTGCATCCCTGGACAGCCAAACACTTCTGTGACTTGCAAATCTGGCCCTTGGTGCTTACACGGTGCATGCAGCTTTTCATTTGGAGATTTCAGCATCCTCCACCAAGGGGGATAATCACCATTAACCCAGCTACACAGATGGGGAAACTAAGGTAGAGAGTGATTTTGCCCAATATCACCCTCCTGGCCTTATGCGGAGGTCAGGACTCCCTACTCCTAGCTTTTTGCCCTAGCCTCAGCATGCCAGTAACATAATGCTGTACCTCTCTACAATGCTTTGACCCCTGATGAAAAAACAGGACCTCACACATTATCCAGTATTAGGAATGGAGCATCCTCATTAAAATCAAAAGTACCATGGAGTTTTTGATATGCAGAATGTACTGGTCTCACCAGACCTGTTCTCCTCATGTAGTATCCTGCCTCCAGCTTGGGGCAATACCCAAAAGTTCGGAGGGAGTTAAAAATTCTCACTGAAAGAAATTTAATACTGCCAAAAAATATTCTGCTGCTATCATCTTTCAGCAAACTCTGGGAACCAGATCCCCACCCAGGGACAGGTTAAGCAATGGCAGTTGCTGCTGCTGAGGCTCTGGCCCTCTATTTAGTTTGTCTTTGCTTGTCCCAAAAACCTGAGAATCGATGAGAGAGGGAGTGAATTGGAGGAAAGTCTTGTTGGAAGAAATTAGCTCTGGGAGCATCTACATGAGAAGCCTGATTGCACAGAAAGTTAGTCTACAGTTAAGGTGCAGTAGTTTAATTTACTCCAGTGAAGGTACAATAGACTAATTTACTGCACTGCCGGATAGTCCTGTCAGATACAAGTGATATCTGGCAGTGCAGTAAATTACTGTTCTTAAATGCATGTGTAGATGGTGAAATTGGGATTAGTTTACTCTAGCTCAACTTGAGCCAGAGTATATTCAGTTGCATTGATTGCACATGTAGATGTGCCCTATGTGTAGTGAACTGCACCCAGAGTGCCATACCTGTCACTCTACAAATACCACCAATATTCGCAGAACATCACAATTTTGGACCGAAATGCAAGTATTCACACTAGAAGGGTGGGGCCACGGGTATATCTGCCTGCAGTGTGGAGATCCTTAAGCTAATTTTAAATGAGCTGCCACAGGTACCAGAAGTAGTTTAGCTGCAAGAGTATGGAGCCTAGTGTGGGGTAAGTTATCCAGCATCTTGGCTAGCTTTGGTACTGTGTTTAAAGCTTGCTTGGGTATTTCCATGCTCCGTTGGAAGCTGCGATGCAGACATGCCCGGTGAAGTACATCTACCTAATTGGAGCAAAGAACTGATACTGCGTGATCTGTAATTCCAATAACAAACTTAAAGTTCAAATTTCAGACACTGGCTACAAACAGGCTTACCATCTGTGTTAAAGAATTGCATTTATTTATGTGATGGCATAAAATGGCCGTCATTGTTCTTTCCAGGATTTAGCGTTGCTTGTATCTGCTGCTCTCCTTGACCTGAAGAAGGGTATTTTGGACTCACAAGATGGTCTTGCAAACCTGCAAGCTACTGATTTGGTCCAAGGAAAGATATTACCTTAGCCCACAAATTTTGCTGCTTGTCTGATCCAGCATCAGATGTAGAAGGTGTTCAGCCAATCCTGATAGAGCAAAGAAATTTGGGACAATCTCCAACCAATCATGAGGATTTGAGGAGCAGAAAGACAGGCAAAAGGCTGTTAACTATTGGTTTCTATCTATCCCACATACACGTGGTCAACTGTGTAATGCCCTCCGTGGTAGAACTATGTAGGATTGTCCCCTGGCAACTCAGGCTAGACCCCCAGTGGTCCCAGTGCAACCCAGTTGCTTTCAGTGCACAGGTGTAACTGGTGAATAACTTGCTAAGACTCCTGTTAGCCATGCATAAACTGGAGAGGAATCTCTTAGCTGCAATGACTTAGCAGGCCTAGGAGGTATAAAAAGAAATACAACATCATTGCCGTCACTGACAATGGCAGATCTGACTTTGAATACACAGGGGGGACAAATATGCTGAGCAAGAAGGCGGCATTTTTTTACATAGTCGCACATCAGAGTAGAGCTATGCTTTAAAGACAAAGCCTCAGATAGGAGTGTCTGAAATGCTGGCTGCCAACTGTGTTGTGAACGATATACAGTCAGATCTCATAGGGCTGCTGTGAAAGCTTGTTTAGTTAAGTAGAAAATTCTTCTTGCAGTTCTCCGTCGCTCAGACACCTGTGGTTTACCAAATTAATCCACCATCTGGAGTCCCAGGTAAGGGATCTTTCACATTGGGACTGCTTTGATTACTTTTTGATGTTTCATATTTTCATCCTCCGTATGACAAAGCTGCCATTTTCTATCTGACATGCTGAGGATTGAACTAGTCACCTCCAGAACTAAAACTAACACTTGAGCTATGCAATCAAGCCTTGCCAGCTGACACTGTAAGAGACTGCTATTTTTGGTGGGTTGGGCCCTGTTGCATGCACTGACCAGCACTTTGCTTATAAAGATGCCAAATCTCCTTCATTTGAAGCTGGCTGAGTATAACGATGTTGCAGAACAACCACATTGCTTATTGTAAATCCTGATGATCGTTTGCACCTCTCCCCCTTTTTATTCTTGTAATGATTCTGGCACAAAAATCAGCTTCCCCACTTAAAACATAAAGCCCCAATTTGGAGGGAAAAGTGTTTGGTATGCAAGTAAATACAGTATTTGGATGATGTCCCAGACTCTATACCTGCAACTCCATCCCAACCTGTATGGCACTTAATTAACTTCAGTGGGACCCTGCAATCATCAGAGTTCAACAATCAGGATCTGAATGACCAAAAAAATGGTAGACAAGCACCAAGCCATTGGTGTACAATTCAAGTAGATGAACAGAAACACTTATATAAAAAGGACTAGGTGCTTGGCAATTGTGAGTATTTTTTACCTTCTCTTTTGTATCTCAGTGCTGGTTTGTCCAAACTGTTACCCATGGCGTCGTCTTTTTCTACCAGGGGTGTAGGTTGTAGCCGTGTTGGTCTAAGGACATAGACAGACAAGGTTCTTTGGGTGAATCTGATATTTTTTATTACACCAACTTAAACAGTTGGGGAAAAAAATTCCAGCTAATTAAGTTGGTCTAATAAAAGCTATCAGATTCACCCAAAGAACCTTGTCTGTCTTTTTCTACCATAATTTTGCTACCATTTTCAAGGTGCTTCTGGAGATCTTAGGAGAATTTAACATCTTGAAATTTGAAGTCCTTGGAAAGCAAGGATCCTAGGGTATTTAGAGTCTAGACAGGCATGTAGTGAGGTTGAAAGTTTAATGCACATTAGGCACTTTGATAAATCCTACTAGTTAACTATCTGGCTCTTGAAGTTCCTAAATAATTTTGTCAGTCTTGTCCCTACTCTCTCTGTGTGGGTGTATGAGTGTTTTGATGTATGTTTGAGCTAGGATTCTTAAAGGGAAGTGCCCAGATCCCATTGCAACTTAATGGGAATTAAGCTCCACTCCTAGGTGTGTCTACACAAGATGTTTATTGTGGAGCTGACTAATTTAGCTCTGCAGTAATTGTCTCGTGTCTACATGTGCAGTGCTGCAGGAAACTAATAAACTGTGCAGCAAGTTAGTACCTGCAAATACAAGCGCTATCCTACTGTGGAGTTATTTACTGTGCAGCAATGTACATGTAGACACTGACCTGGAGGTAAATTGCTCCTGGTTAGCCCAGCCAGCAGGGGGCTACACACCTTCCTGCTGCCTAGCCACATGGCTCAGCAGCTGCAGGAGCCTCATGGCCCAACCAGCTCCTCTGCCACCTGATGCAGCCACATGCTGCTTGGGCTTGACCCCTGTGCCCCCTGCCCACCCGGGGTTGGCACCCAGACAACTGAGGCTGGAGCTTGGAGCTCTCTTGGATGCTGCAGGCAGGCAGGCAGAATAGGGCAGGAACAGCCCTGTCCTAAACTCCTGCCTGGCTCAGTTTGCTGCTGTCTCAGGTGCACGTGTAGATGCTACGCCCATGAGTAGTTGACTCCAGCACAAATTGCTCCATGGCTTATCCCATTGCATTAATTATATGTGTAGATGTGCCCCCTTTTCATAGATTCATAGATTCTAGGGTTGGAAGGGACCTCAGTGGCCCATCTAGTCTGACCCCCTGCCCCTGGCAGGGAAGAAAAGGGTCACCAACCCTGGGGACATGTGAACCCAACCAGCTGCCTGTCCAGTCTCCTCTTGAAGACCCTCAAGGATGGGTGAGCACCACCTTTGGCTTTTTTGAAAAAATCTAGCCTTGATGCACAGAGCCAAGTGCAAGTGATCCTTTGCCATGTTACAGTGAAGGGCATTTCTGTGCTGAAAGTTTAACCCTGTAACCATTCTGAAGACTGAAAATGTGTCATGGTGAGTGAACAGTCATCTTCTGGAGGAGTTAGTCATGGAAAACCTGTGGCTTTATACACGGCTTTGTCAAGCCTAATTTCATAGATTTCATAGATTTCATAGACATCAGGGCTGGAAGGGACCTCGGAAGATCATCGAGTCCAGCCCCCCACCCAAAGGGCAGGAAGTCAGCTGGGGTCATAGGATCCCAGCAAGATAAGCATCCAGTTTCATCTTGAAGGTGATAATGAATGTCAGTGGAAGAATGCAGCAGTTGAAAGCTTCACCAAAGCTGAAGCTCCCTGGGAATGCAGAAGATGACGGAAGTTGTCAGAGGCCTATAATGTGTCAGGGATGTACTTGGTAGCTGTGTCGGTCTGAAACAAAAAGGAATACAAAAATCTAGAACTCTTGGTTCCAAAATAATACCTTTTATTAGACCAACTGAGAAATCACAAAAAAATAATCTTTTTCTGCAAGCTTTCGGGCTCAAAGGTCCTTTATCAGGCTCTGGGAAAAGTATAGATGGTAACCACTAATGTTGTATTTCAGAGGCCTATAAAGCATTATTGAGTCTGGGGAGACTGGGGAGGAATTTGATAATAGTCTTCAAATACCTGCAGGGCATTTTATAGAGAGGATGAAGATGGGCTTTTCTCTGGCCATAAGGGAGAGGACTATGAACAACAGATTCAAGCTACAGCAGAGGAAATTTACATTGGAGATTAGGAGAAACTTTCTGACTATGAGGGTGGTGAAGCATTGGAACAGGCTATCTTGAGTAGTTGTAGAATCTCCAAGCTGGGAAATTTTCAAAAGCAGTTTGGGCAGACACTTGGCTGGTATGGTTTAGTGAGAGAGAATTCTGCCTTGGGCAGGGAGCTGGACTAGATGACCTCATGAGGTCCCTTCCAGCCCTACTTTCCTTTGATCCTAGAAAAAATGAAATAGATTTCAGCTGCTTTCACTTTGTACCTGGGACAAAGAGTAGTAGTGAAAAAGAAAACTAGTAGGTAATCTTATCCTTCCAATAGCAAATGTTTTTAATTGTTTTCAGTTAACTCAGGCAACGAAGGCTAACTATGAAACTTTCTGAGTGTCACACTCCATATAAAAATTAAACATGAAATATACATTGTTAACCTGGAGCAGATTCTGTTCCAAGATAAGATCCACAAGATGTGGTTGTATTTTCCACAGTGACCCAGAAAGCAGGTAGAGGGAAGGACAGCATGGGAAGAATGTGCTAATGCACACAGAAGTAATAGGTAGGCTAGTTATAGCTGCAGGTATACTTTGATTGCAATTCAGATAATTATTAACATTAGATTAAGTAAAAAATATCTGATTTTAGCCCTTTCTTGAAGATAGGCACCACATTGGCCTTCTTCCAGTCTTCGGGCACTACACCAGAGCGCCAAGAGTTTTCAAAGATCCGTGCTAGAGGATCTCTAATTTACTTTAGAGTTCAACTCCCATTGGTGAGCATATCTACATGTACCATTAATGCACAGCAATAAGTTCTGGAGTTTACTGCTCTGAAGCTTATTGCTCCCAGGAAGCTCCCTGGTGCACCGTTTACATGAGCGCCCAGACCACAGCACATGGAGCGGGGTCACAGCAGCCCTGGCTGGCAGGGGACCTGGGGGCATGGGGAGAAGGGGTCAGCCTGCCAACCTGGGGCTGCTCCAGTGTGGCTCAACACATTGCGGAGCAGCTGGCTGGGGCACAAGGGTGCTTCAGCCCAGGGGCTGGCTGGCAGGCAGCAGGATTGGCATCTACACATGTGCTGCTATGAACAAAAAATACTCCACCGCATGGTACCTCTCGTATTTGCAAGTCCTACCCTACTGTGGAGTTTATTAGTTCCTGCCAACCTGGGGCTGCTCCAGTGTGGCTCAACACATTGCGGAGCAGCTGGCTGGGGCACAAGGGTGCTTCAGCCCAGGGGCTGGCTGGCAGGCAGCAGGATTGGCATCTACACATGTGCTGCTATGAACAAAAAATACTCCACCGCATGGTACCTCTCGTATTTGCAAGTCCTACCCTACTGTGGAGTTTATTAGTTTCACGCACCCACTCGTATTTGCAAGTCCTACCCTACTGCGGAGTTTATTAGTTTCACGCACCCTAATAAAGGTGCATGTGTAGACACAAACATTTACTGCGGAGGTAATTAGTTTGCAGTACACGCACCCTAATAAGGGTGCATGTGTAGACACAGACATTTACTGCGGAGGTAATTAGTTTGCAGTAAACATCCCATGTACATGAGCCCAGTGACCCCTTTATTTCCCTTTTAAAAACCAAATTGCTGCTGAGATGCATCTGGTAGATGCACCAAAATAATGAATGTCTGGGTGCTATAGTTTGATTGCCTGAAGTGACTCGGTAGCAGAGCTGGTCAGAAATATATTTATTTTTTCATCAGTGAAAAATGCTGAAAAAATTAATTTTTGTCATTGCTTATCAAAAAATGCTTGGTTTCTGGTGAAACACAAAGCATTCAGGTTTTCTGGGTAAAGCCAGCAGTTCTGAGTTTTTGGTCATGCATGACAGGAACCTAATTTCCACTGGCAATCAGCAGGAGAGTTAAGTACTTCAACTACTTAGGCACTTCTGTAAATCTCAGATCCTATTGCACCCAGTAAGCACCTGAGAATCTATTTGGGATCCACTCTGACCTTCCTTGATCTCTGAAAACCCTTAATTCAAAATGTGGGTGAGTCCTTGTTCAACTTGCCACTTTTTGAGGTTTAGTCTTGAGCCAAAAAGGCAAGCACGTTACAAAAGTAGACACACGGTTGCTTTTTCAGGAACTTGAGTGGGGTGGAATAGGATTATACTTCATCACATAGAAGCCTAAGTGCCACTTAGAGACCTAATAAGTGGAACAGGATCTGGCTTTTGACACCTAACTACCTTTGTAAATATGTCCCATAACCCCTACTTTGTCAGCCTGCCTCTGAAAACATTTACATGCTGCCTTAAAAAATAACCACTTAGTTTTCCTTTTCCTTCTAAACAGGAAGCCTAATAGAAGTCTATGGGCAGGTCATTGCAGGAAGTTATGAAACCATGGACTTTGACACTGACTACATTGATGGGTAATTATGTCTGTTGGCTTTCTGGTTCTGCCCATGTGCTTTTTTTTGCATTTCTTTCTTTGATCAGACTCCTTGACAGCAATAAATAGCAACCAGTTGGCACAGAATTCCCATTTCCTCTCGTTGTGCTTTATTGCAGCTCATGAGTTGGGCTCCGGCAAACTTTGCTAATCTAATTGCAAATGGTCCATTAAGCTAGTCCCCTTATTTACTGGCGGCACAGTCAATCATGGCTCAGTGTGAATTGTACTGTAATTGCGTCTGGTGGCTGTAAGTTTTATTTTGGTGAAGCAAATTGAAAGAAACTAATTAAAATAATGTAAGAGTCCAAAAGTTAAATAAATGTTCTTCCCAATTTGCATTTTTTAGAAATGCTATTAGTCGGAGGCAGGGAGCGTAATTCTCAGAGCAAATCCTTAGTCAAAGCAGAGGTATTAAGACAATAGGCCTTTTTTTTTTCTAATGCCATCAACCCTGTTTCATCATTTGCGCTTCCACACAGTGGACCTCGTTTTCTTTTGCCCTGTTGCAGATTGGTCATTTCTCAAGAAATAAAATGCTGCCTGTCTGGAGTAGGGTTGGTTCTGCAGGATGGAGAATTGGGCTTAGTGAGGTCACTGTGAAAGCAAATTGTGGTAGCCTGGTTAAGCAAGGGGAAAATGTCACGTTTCATAGGGGTTTTACTGACCGCTCCAGGAGTCGGGAAGGTACCTTCCCCTACCACATCATTGCCTCGGGTGTCCTTTTTGCATTTCTGAAGCAACACATACTAGTCACAGCTGGACGCAGGAGTCTGAATCTGATGGACTGTATGTCCGAGATGGTGTTATGAGCCAAATCCTTAGAAGGGAAAATTCTGACTTGGTAGATGGTGTCTATCAAAGCCATTGGTGTTTCACTGATTTACACTGGCTGGGCATCGAACCCTACATTCCTATGCTCTGGATACTCATTAACACCATTTGTTCAATATTGGTTATTGTTTCACTTGCTTTGAATGGAAACGACAAGGGCTCTGAGCAATGGAACGGAAAGCTGGACAATGTTTCGTTGTGTGTTTGATTCTCCACTGAAAGCTGGTTGTCTCATTTACAACATAACCCCGATAAGTGATCCACATACTCGAGGAAACTTAGCAGACAGGATATGCTCGCTCATTGAGGGGAATGCTTTGCTTCTTTTTAGCAAATGCACACCTTGAGTGATTAGGGCTTCGTTGCAGTCCTTGCCTCCTTCACTCACATGTTATAAAGGAGGGCTGGGCTCCTTGCGTTTGCAAGGGAGTTCTGCAGCCTTCACGAGGGACAGGACATAGCATTCGACTGCCCCTGAGAAGCACTTCAATATGGTGTTACTTACCTGGGGGGGTTTTTCCCTTGAAAAGCCCCAAATTGAAGAAGATTCAGTTAACAAAAATATGTAGATGATCTCACAAGTCTTTTTCCTATGATCCTAAAACATAAAATCCAGCCACATTTAGTCTCCATTCCAAAGCCAGGACCTAACAAAGTGTTTGTGTTGTAGTGCCTTTTGAATTGCACAGTAGCGTAAATTGTTGTTGCATCTGAACTAATCCGCCTCTGATAATGATGCTAATTGTAATCATAGAATCATGGAAAATGAGGGTGGGAAGGGACCTGAGGAGGTCACATCTAGTCCAGCCCCCTGCTCAGAGCAGGACCAGCCCCAGTGACATTATCCCAGCCAAGGTTTTGTCTAGCCGGGTCTTAAAAACCTCCAAGGATGGAGAATCCACAACTTCTCTGGGTAACCTGTTTCAGTGTTTTACTACCTGCTTAGTGAGAGTTTATTCCTAATATCCAACCTAAACTTCCCTTGCTGCAACTTTAGACCATTGCTCCTTGTTCTGCCATCTTCCACCACTGAGAACAGTGTAGCCGCATCCTTTTCATAACCACCCTCCACACAGTTGAAGGCTGCTATTAAATCCCACTAAGCCTTCTTTTCTCCAAACTGAATAAGCCCAGTTCCCTCAGCCTCTCCTCATAAGCCATGAGGGTTTCCATCTCTGTGTTGTATTCAGTTGTTGTCTCCCACTTAAATTATGTGTCCGCTGAAGCAGGGAGTGTCTTAGTTTTTGTTATAAGCGTGAAAGGCCCTTGTACACCCAGATCCTGGTTTGGGAGCTTTAAACATCTTCAGTAATACAAATAATAATAAAAAATAGCATGTTGTACACAAGGGAGGATAGCAGCAGATGGTGTTTTCCTGCTGTTTTTGGGTAATGGTTTTACTGGTACCTACTCTACCAGTTGGATGCTACTCCATCCCACACAAGTCCCTGGAAAAATGTTAACTCATCTACCGTTGCAACACATCACCATCTGAGCCTTAAGACTAAGTCCTAGATCTGCACCGAGTAAGAGGCAGTGATGAAGGACGAGGACCCATCCTTTTGGGTTTTTTTGCATGCATTTATTTTTCAGGGATGTGAACAGCGTTGAATAGGATCACACTTAGAGCACCTAATAGCCAGAGTAGGATCTGGCCTGGGAGTGAAATCTTGGCCCTGCTACAGCCATTGTGGGGTTTTAGCCATTGAAAGTGGGACCTGAATATCACTCAAGAGCATTGTGCTTTACTGTCTTGTCATGTTTTTGCCTTTTTGTTTTCTAGCCCAGTTATTCTTGAGGCTGAAGATGATGGGTGGATCAGTCTGTGCTCATTTGCCAACAAGCAAAACAGAAGCATGTTAGTTTCTGAGTTTCCTTTGCATTTGAGTTGCACTCTCTGAGTCTTATTGCTTCAAGCATGCTGGTCTTATCGAGGATTTGCTTACCCGCGCGACCCGTGGTAACAAAAGCCAGTCCTTTGTTGCAATGCAGAGACGGCCCTTGAAAAGTCAGCCATCGGGTGAACAACTGGGATTACAGAAATGCTTGGGAGTTCAAAATATCTGATTCTTTGACACTGTGGGACATGTATGTCCACAGCACAGGGAGTTTTGATATTTAGGATTTGTTTTCATTCCAAATTGCATCAAAAAAGTTGACATTTTCAAAATTTCTCAGAATATACGTTTAAAAAAATAGATATAGAAAAACGGGCTTGTTTCAATTGGCTGTTGTCAAGTTCATTTTGGCATGGATGGAAAGGTATAATGTCATACCAGATATTATTCAATAGGGTATCTATAACATGTTTTTTGACAGATATATATGATTGATTTTTTTTAATGTCATATAAAAGTCAAAACAAAATGAATCAAAATGAGATTCACATTTTGCCTTAAAAGCAACAGTTTCCTGGGAAATTTTAAAATGTTGACGATACTGCATTTTCTGCTGGGAAATGATTAGAAAATCATTACTCAAAAGCCCCTCAAGCGGATGTAAGCTGGAGCCTTGCAGGGACGGATAAAATTATGGAAACATAGGCCTGGGAGGTCATCAGGAAGTGATTTGCTCTGACCTCTTCCTCAAGGCAGGATCTCCCCTGTTTAAACCATCCCAGGGAAGGGTTTGTCTGACCTTCTTTTCAAAACTGCTGAGGATGGACATGCCACAGCCTCTTTATGTAGCCTGTCCCAACGCTTATCCACCCTTGTAGTGAGAAAGCTCTTCCTAGGATTATGACAAAGTTGCAAGACATCCCTTTTTTCTCATCCGTACCAGATCTTTGCATGGTTAACCCCCAGCACAGCTAAGGTCTCAGAGCTCCTGCTCCAACTCTGCCGAGCAGTTCAGCATAGATGCAGACCTGGCTCTTTGCATAGAGACTGGAAGTATTACTGATCACTTTTAACACACCTATCCTGTTAACACACACTATCCTATTCCACCGGAGTGGACTTGGATGTCTGAGAACAGTCCTATTCGACCCTGATTGAGAACCTGAGAAACTATGAATGCCTCTCTTTTTGTAACCACTGGGTGCATCTAGATGTGCTCTTAACTGCGGAGTTGATTAATTTGCTCTGCAGTAAAATGTCACAGTCCACATGTGTGCTGGTATTAGGGCTCATTAAATTAATTAACTCTGCCATAAAATAGTACCGTCAGGGACTAGTGGCCCTGTGGCCCAGTTTCCATGTGGCAGATACACCGTAGGGGTCTAGTGTCTGTCCCAAAAGGGAGGGTTTCATTCATGCTGTCTGAAGACTCATATTGCCAACCACTTACGGGGTCGGGGAAGCATAGCACAGAGGGGCTGCACTAACTATTCACTGGTATCCTGTCCTCCTCTGGAACACCTGAAGCCACTTTCATGGTTGGATTTAGGCTCAAATAGACAGCAAGTCCCACCAGGGGAAGTGAAATCCCACTGTGCAAGGCAATGGTGACATGTGAGTCAAGGTGGAGCATTGCTTGCTGGGTACATATAGTCAAGACTGCATTTGAATTGGATCAGGGACAGTACTATCCTATGGTGGAGTAATTTACTCTGCCAAAATGCACATGTAGACGCTGGCTTGGGCTGGCTGGGGTTTGAGGATGCTACAGTGCAGGGGCTGCCTGCCAGATAACCCTGCACTGTAAAAGCCTTGTGTCCCAGGCAGCCCCTCCGCTGGCCACTGCCACCACCCGGGGACCAGGGCTGATCTCCCAGGCCTCCTTCCAGTCCAGGGCTGCTCCACCTTGACTCCAAGTGCCATGGTCCTGGGTCCATGTGCAGACGCTGGGCCTAGCAGCACTGACTCCAGCATGAATTGTGCCGGGGTTTATTTCTTCGCACTAATAACGGATGTAGATGCACCCGCTGTCATCTTAGCTGTAAGACAATCACAAAAAGCAGCGAGAGGCGGAGGACCCATCACCTTTTGTGTTCCTTGTTTTCCAGGGACTTGAACAGGGTGGAATAAGAATCACGCTTAGGTGCCTAAGTCCACTTTACATGCCTAATGATTGCAAAAGAAGCTGATTCGGGGCCAGATCCACGAAGGTATTTAGGTGCTTAACTCCTATCCAGGTACCTGACTCCCTTGATTTGAATGAAAGCAGTGGGAGTTAGGCAATTAAATATGTTTGAGGATCTGGCGCTCAGTGCATCACGAGAGGGAGCTTGCTGGACTGGACCTTGGTGAAGGGGAGTTTTCATGTCCTTGGGATGCCAGCTCCTGATAGCGGCATGCCTGTCTGCATTGCTTCTTAAGCCCAGTGCAAACTCTGCTATCTCAGTTTCCTTAAATAATAAATCCCTTCTCTGCTGCTGATGAAAAAGGTCTTTGTTTCAAATATTAAAGCTCTAGGACCAAGCAGCTAAGGATTTAAGTGGTTTGACAAATCATTGTTTAAACTTTTACAAACCTGCCCAGGGCATCATTGATTTTCAAAGCAGTTTTAACATTAACAACATTCTTCGCTTACTTGCTAACGAACCATAACCGCTCCTTCCCCTCTGGGAGAGCGTCTCGCTTAATAACATGTTGCAAAGGCTCCTGTGTTCTTCCAGTGGCAGATGGAGTCTAAGCCTTTGTTCCAGTGGGTTAGAAGAGAGGGCAAAGTCATGTTCAAGCCACCTTTTGTATCCTCCCTACATTGGGACCATCCTGAAATGTTGTGAAATTCAGAGCAGCCTCTGAGCTTCTCCTCTTCCTTGTGCCCTTCCTCCCATGCAACTTCAGCTCATGGGCAGGTTCTGGGATAGTTTGGTCTTCGACCTGGGGACAACCTGACTGCAAATGATTTTGGCTTGGGGTGGGATTGCGAGATTTTGCTGGTATTTTTCATTCTTCCAGTAGCACAGTTGTCTTTTATTTGTTATTTTTTTTACAGCTATCCTATCCAGGGAGAACATGGAACGGGGACCCTGAAGTGTCGTGTAGAAGGCAATTATATTGGTCAGTGAAAAAAGAAAAACCGCGTGTGCCTGGTATTTTGGTCTCCTTGGCTGTGTCCAGATGAGCACGAACTTTGGTTCCCTGGGGACAAGTAGCAGCTGGACACCTTGTGCCGCTGCTAGTTGTCCCCAGGGAACGCCTGTGCCGTGCGCTCTCTGGTGCATGGCAGGTTACCCCAGGTGGGGTAAGGGAGGCTGGCCCCAGCAGTCTTACCTGGGGTCCTGGGAGCCTCCTGGGGCTGTAGCAGTGGCGATCTGGCCACCCAGAGCCTGGCCGGCTGCCAGAGCATGGCCCTGGCTGGCCAGGCTCTGATTTTGAGCGGCATGTGCTGCCCGTGCATGCGTTGTTTCTCTTTATTCTTTGTTTTTGTATGGGTTTTATTTTTTTTTTTTTGACCCCTGGATATTCAGGGGTCAACCCCCCGATGCTGCTCCCTTGCAGTGTGGAGAACAGCTGAATGGGCGCTATGTGCCACATTGCCCGCGCTCGTCTAGACGTGGCCTTCATGACAGACCTTCTCGAACTCTCACCATTGCACTGGGAAACAAGGTTGGGGAGCGAGTCCTTGGCACATTTCTGCCCTTTCCTACCCTGGTTGTGACCAAACCACTAATGACTGCAAGCTGTTTCTTCCCCTGCCCATTTTAGACCATGATCTTTCTTTTAGATGATGACTTCTTAGCATGCCTCCTGGCACCTCCCCTCCAGGACCTGAAGATGAATTGTGCCTGCCTATGTATTTATGGCCTCTGGCATAGGAGTGCATGCGCTCCAGGGGATTCAGTAGTTCATTTGGTGGCTGGGCCACAGCACTGTATCCTGGGGGTGGGGAGCTGCTTCCTGCTGCTGACATCTCATCCGAGAAGTGCCCTTGGTAGGAAGTTGGAGGTGTGATCGCTTCACGTGGTTGCCGACAGGTCGGGGTTTGTGCTGGGGGAAGCTACATAGCACAGACTCTCTCTGTGTTGGTGACCTTTCTCATGGTGGGGGTTTCACATGAACCTTTCGGAAGGGAGTTAGAGATAAAATTGGCTTGGAAACCATCCAGAATTTTTTTTTTCCCATCCAAAATCAGGATGAAAAGGCTCTCCTTACTCCTCCCATCCCCAAACTCCCACACCTTATAGGATCATAGACTTATAGGAAAGTAGTGGTGGAAGAGACCTCATAAGGTCATCTAGTCCAGCCCCTTGTTCAAGGCAGGATCACCACTGACTAAACCATCCCAGTGGTGTGTCTGTCTAACCTGTTCTTGAACATTTCCAGGAATGGGGATACCACAATTTCTCTAAGTAGCCTGTTCCAGTGCTTGACCACCCTCACGGTCACACATTTCCTCCTGATTTCCAACCTCAATTTCCCCTGTTGTAGCTTGAGGGTGTGGCTCCTAGTCCTGTCCCCTACAGCCACCTAGAAAAGCTCATGTCTTTCCTCTCTATAACTGCTCTTCAGTGTGAAGATTGTTATTAAATCAGTCTGATCTTCTCCAGGCTAAATGACCCTAGTTCTTTTAGCCTTTCCTCATAAGTCTTGTCTCCCAGCCCCCTGATCATTTTTGCTGCCCTGCACTGGCCTCTTTCCAAACTGCCCATGTCCTTCTTGAAGTGTAGGACCCCAAACTGGACACAATACTCCAGGTGAGTATTGGGTTGAATAGAGTGAAAAAATCACTTCCCTTGATTTGCAAATGACACTCCCATTAATACAACCCAAGATGCTGTTGGCTTTTTTTTTTTTCCAACAAAAGCACCCTGTTGGCTCATATTCAGCTTATGGTCCACCTTATATATATATTTTTAATGAATTTTGCTATTGTTGAATCAAAATTCTGCAGCAGACTCAGGAGTGGGTCAGTGTTTCTGCTCTGAAAAAGGCTCCCTGGACTCCCTGCTTCCCCAGCTGTCTCTTTGGCGGCCTGAGACTCCCAAACTCCGGCTTGCTGGCTAATTAGATGGGCACTCTGCCTACCCATCAAATGGGAAGCCTAGAGAGCTGCCTTGTGGCACTAGCTGAGGAGCTGACCACCTGTACAGTCAGGCAAGCAGCCTGCGCACCTTTGGGGGTGGCATCTTGAGGAAACTGCCAGCCATGGTACTGGGGGCCTGAGGAAGTGCTGTAAGGGTTGGTAGAAAACTGGGTTGGCTGGCTGGTAAACCTGCCAGGTTTCTCATGCAAGTTATGATAGAAATGGCACAATCCAGCAGAGCCTTCCTATTCCACTGAGCCATCATATTCACAAGAGAAACCATCCAATGGGGACATTTTCAACTAGTTCTAGTTCAAGGCTTATGTCCTTTCCCCCAAAACCCCTAGGAAAAGACCCAAAGTAGTGCCTTAAGTTCCTAAAATAGGACTCAGATGGAAGTTAGGCCTCTAGATCCAAAAAAACCACAAGCAAATCCAGAAAACCCCAAGTTTAGCCTCTGTGTTTTGGTCCTGTGGGTGTCCTGGGCATTCGGTTTAGCTGTCCCCATGTATGAAGAAGAGCTCTGGTCTAAGCAGTTAATTACATAGATCAGGAGTGATCAACTTGCAGCTCGTTGGCCATCGGTGGCTCGTAGGTATATGGCATCTGGCCCAGGGGACTCCCCACAGGTTGGGAAATTTGGTGGTGGGGGAGCAGTGGCGATTAATACCACCACCCTCCCTTGCTTCCAAATTTCCAAGCCTTGTGTGGTTGGTTGGAGCTAGGCCATGCCCCCTTCCCTCCATGTGGCTGAGTTGGGACTGGGTTGTACTGCCTACTCCCCATGGGGCTGGGCTACACCCCCTCCCCTTGCACTGCTGGATTGGGGCAGTGCCCTGCCACCTTCTCCTGTGTTGCTAGTTCAGGGCTGGCCATGTCCCCTTCTCCCTGCATAGCTGGATCAGGGCCAGGTCATGCCCCCTGTCCCCCATTCCCTCCCTGCCCTCTTCCCCCATGTGGCTGGATTAGGGCCAGGCTGCCACCACCCCACTCTGCACAACCAAATGGGGTCCCATCATGTTCACCCTGGGCACTGGATCAAGACCACCAGCCAGATCCAGCCCAGGGATAGAGCAGGCACTACCCACCTGGTCCATTGGGCAAAAAAGTTGAGCACCACTGGACTAGGTCCTTGAGGGTCTAGTCTGGGAGGTGGGCTTGAAGCATGCCTAACGCAATGAATAGTGCTGAGTTTGGCCCATAGTGCAGCAACCAGGGTCACTTTCCTTCACAAATACAGCCTGTGGTGATGCAGCTGCCTACCTTTTGCACAAACATTTAGGTTACTCACCTGGGAAGTGGGAGACCTTGATTTCATGTCCAGCTCAGCTTGGCCAGCGGGGGAGTCAAATCCACTTCTGGGTGCTCTTTGCCAGCCCATTCAAACCCATCTGTGTAGATGTCTGCCCCAGGTGGGTTGCTCTACAGTAAATTGCTCTGCAGTACACCCACCCCAGAGCATTTGCACATGTAGATGTGCCCGCAGTAAAGCATTTGATGAACTTTCAATGTACTCGAGAAGGCTAGATTTTCTTTTACAAATCTGAATAAGAGATGTATGTTTAACTATGATTAAGGATTAATAAAATAATTTATTTGGACTATTTCTCTCTAGTTTATTGCAATTTTAAAAACCTAATATATAATCTATTAATTAGTGCACATTCCAAAAAAGGCATAGTTGATTTTGCTTTGATCGTAAATTGAATAATATCGTGCTAGGCCCCTAGCATATTAGTAAGGCTGCTGGTCTCTAACTGGAGAAAAATAGGTGCTCTATTACATGTGATGATGCATGTACCTTTTGCACACCCCCTTTCCAAAACCCTAGGTCCATCCATGCCTACAGTCAACGTGTTTAATTTTTTTCTTCTGGCAGGCTCACAGAACATTAGCTTCTCAGTGTTTAACAAGGGGAAGTGAGTAAGATTTTTTTTCCTCTCTTTCTCTGTGATTTCTGAAGCATGTGTATCTGTGCTTAGCTCTACTACTTTGCTATCTCAAAAAGCTGAAATGATTTTCAGATCAGGCCTGGCAGTGAGAGAGACATTTCTGCCTAGAGCACATTTCCAAGACCTTGGTTGTTATTGTGCTTGTCTAACTGCAAGAGAAAGACTTCTCCATTGGGTACAGTTGGGGGTAGACCTTTTGGTCAATCTCTGGTCAGTGGCAGGGAGGCTGGGGCAGGGAGGAGGACTGTTGGTCCTGTCTGTTTCTTTGAGATGGGCTAAATCCTACATTTTCCATTTATTTATTTTGGGGGGTTGTCTGCCTTATCTTCTCTTTTTTTCACTCATTCTCTCCCCCTCCCCCCACACCAGAGTTTTTCCAAGGGTGGAAAAGGCAAAAAGGTAAGTGAAAGTGGTAAAATCCTCACTTTTTACCATTATCCATTCAGAAGAAGTTGGGAAACTATAAGAAAGTGTGTGAGAATCAGGTCTTACAGCATTGTAGAGTCACAGAAAAGTGGGGCTGGAAGGGACTTCAGGAGGTCATCTAGCAGCTTATCACTCTATTCGAGGAAGGATCATTCCTATCTAAACTATCCTAGACAAGTGTTTGTCTAAATTATTCATAAAGCTATAAAAATAACCCATCACACAGCTGCTAGGAAAACTGCCCCCAAACACCAAGAACACCTTAACCTTTCACAGGTAAAGCAGGGGGACAAGGGCACTGCCAGTGCCCAGCACTGCAAGGACAGGAAGTATTTGTTAAAATTTGCTTGAGAGATCCAAGGAAGAAGACCATGTCCACCACTACAGAGGTGGACAAAACCCCTCACATGCTAATCTGATTATATCAGAGCCCTGGTTTATAATGGGAAGCTTTTAGATGAAGAACATCAGCCAGCTCTTTTTGCAGTACTTACATGAAAGTTGTTTCATAGTTTCTAGGGTTGGAAGGGACCTGAACAGATCATCAAGTCCGACCCCCTGCACTGGGTAGGAACGAGTGCTGGGATCATAATACACCAGCCAGATATCTATCCAACCTCCTCTTGAAGACCCCCAAGGTAGAGAAGAACACCACCTCCCTTGGGAGCCCATTCCAGAGCCTGGCAGCCCTAACCATAAAGTTGTGAATGAACAGTTGATTTTCCTCTTAGAAAAAACAGTTATCCTCAGTTTATTCTGAAAGTAAATGCTTCCTGAGCCTTCACTGCCACCACAGGTAGCTCAAATTTCAGGGACCCTCACAGGAATTTCTTTCTTGTTGCAGGTCAGTGGTACACAAGGATGCATGGCTTATCAGTGCCAAACAGGAGCTTTTCTTGTATCAGACACACCCAGGTACTGTAGAGATCAGTCCCATGATGAGCCCTTTTAGAAGGTCATGAAGACAACCTCTTGTTGCTAAACTTTCCCAGTGCTTTCTTGTTCCCTTATCCCAGCTGTGCATTTTCCCTTTTATCCTATGCTTTCATGTGTTTGGAGCACACAAAAAAGTCCTCAGAAGGAGATGGAAAGGCTGGTTTTCTTACATGCTAAAGATGTTAAGTGCCCCAATTCCCTGCTGTCTCTTATTTTGTGGCATTCTCTGTTTCCTGGATCCCCAATGAGTAAGACTTTGTAACATAGCTACCAGCCTTTTTGAGTGGGAAGGGGTGGAAGTGGGGTTGGGAGAAGGACCCTTCAAGTGTTGCCAACCCAAGACATCCTTTTTTTTACTGATAATCTGCAAGCTTTTTACTGCCAACCACACTGTTTTTACTGGCATCTATGTTTTTACTGATATTTGTTTTATGTAAATGCAACTATTCTGCCAAGTCGTGGCCTGAAGCCAGGCCTCAGTTAGAAGGGGTGGGTTCAAATATAGAGGTTTAACATCAACCATAACAAGTACAAAACAAGTAAACAAGTACAAAAGCTTGGCTGTTAGTAAAAAAAGTTTTTAGTAAAAAAATAATTTTCTTGGATTGGCAGCCCTGCTTGATTGCAGTGATGGTTTTACAGTGCAGGGACCCCCTACTCACCTCCACATCCTGATGCATGTGTCTGCATCCTGAACCATGCTGCCACCCTCAGTGAACCCCTCAGACTTACCTCTGCTAGCCCTCCTTCCCCTGTCCCACTCAGACCCCAAGGAAGCCTATCCATGACCCAGCAGTATTATATGTAGGCTGGGACACAGGAGCAACAATGCATGGGAGAGTGATTCTTGCAGGGTAATGTTCTCCTGCTCACATGCCAGGTGGTACTGCTCTGCTCTGTTTTTGGAGCTTCAGTCAAGTTGTAGCTGCTTAGTGTTTTTACTGATGGCTAAAGTTTTTTTTCAGACTTTACTGATAGCCATTTTTAGCCTGAACTTTTACTGACAGTCAGTACATTTACTGACATTTGGTAACCCCAGACCCCTTTTAAAGGGTAATCTCCAGAAGTATCAGCATGATTGCTATTCATGGTAGGACAGGTGATGGGTAATGAACCAGCAGTTCTAGTCCTGTCAAACCCATGCTAGGTGCATCATCCTGCTAGGTTCAGGAGGTTCTGAGTAACCACAAAGCCAGCTGAGGTTTGAAACGTGAAAGGTACTTTGGAGAAGGCAAATTGCTTCCTTGTCTCAGCTGAGTGAATTGTACCTCTTGAGAGTCAGTGGGAGAATCAAGATTTCTCTGTGTATAATGTGGGAAAAGGTTTACTGCAGACTGCTATAGTAGCGTGTCAGGAAGTTAACAGTTTATCATCCAGTAAAGTCAAAACATTCACATGCAGCTTCCAGCTTTACACAACAGACCATTTAAATCTTGAACAGACATTTTCATGGCTAAGTGTTGTCAAGGAGATTTGGCAAGAAGCTATATGTAAGACTCAAGGTAGAAATACAAGTCCAAGCTCTAAAGATCATCAGAGCAGGTGGAGGTGTCCAACCTAATTTTTGTGGTTATTATCGTATGTTATATAAGGCTAGAAAAGATCACCTGGTTCATCCAATCTGGTTTTCTACATTTTTCAGGAGCTCTAACTACAGCTTTATCCTAAAGTTTGATATAACCTTTGACTGTAGCTACCGTAGTGAATAGACTAACAGGTTGCTAAATGCACGTGTATAAAGGACTTGGTTCAAACGATTTAGCCCCCTAGTAATGACATTAATGCTAGTAATAGTAGTAATAATATAGCATTTATAAAATTAGGGATAATGATGTTATTTTAGACGTGGGGAACTTGATGCACAAGAAATTCAAGTGGCTTGCTCACACCCAGAAAAACAGTGGTAGAACAGGGAATATAACCATTTTTCATGTCTCAGTCCAGTGCTGTATCCATTAGGTGATGCTGCCTCAATAAGGCCCTTAAAACTAGTTGGCTTAGATGTATTTTCAGATGTAGGAAAGTAAGAATAATCTTTAAACTGCTTTGTAAGCAGAATGCAGCTTCCTGTTCAGAGCAACAATTGCTTCATTCAACAGCAGAAAGCTTACACGCTAGGGCTGTGGTGGCCTAGTGGTTAATGCATCTCACTACTGCTTCAGACCCTGAATTGGGACCCCTGTTTTGGACTTACTTTAAAGCCTGTTCACAGGTGATCCGGATTTAAATGGGTACCTGGTTTTTGAGGCTGGGGTTAAGATGTTTCTGTGCTATTGGCCACTTCACTCCTTTCTGAGCCATTGGCCACAGAAATTGGTATGCTTAACTATGCTAGCTGTATTGGCTGTTGTGGGTGGGAGGACATTTGCACATAGTATATGAATGTTAAACTATCATCTAGTGTAAAATAACCAGATTACCCATGTGAAAAGAGACTGTAAAGGTCAAATCCTGAGTGATACCAAGTGCTTACAACCTCCTTTTGCATCTGCACAAGTTGGAGATGCTTAGTGGCTCCCAGGATTTCATTCTCAAGATTGAGAATTACGCGAATCATATTTAGACATTGGTGAACTCAGTAGTAGTCAGACATTTGGGCTAAATTCAGAAGTGAGCCACACAGGATGTAGGTTAATTTAATTTCACCTTCTTCAGGCCTCCTCATAGTATAAGTCCCATCAGTCTGGGGGTTGGACGAGATGATTCCTGAAGTCTTTTCCAACCCTATGACTCTAAATAAACACAACATGAATTACAGGAGTCACTGAAACCTTTTCCATAAGGTTACTGTAGCCTTCCCCAAATTGTCATTTGTCCAGACTCCACGTACTCTCTCAAATTAATTCTTGGTATAATTCCACTGGTTTGTAGGAGTTACACCAGGAATGAGTTCAGTGCATTTAAGTTATAGGAGCTTGCTCCCATTGATATCAATGCAAATGTTACTGTTAACTATAATAGAGCAGAAGGGTGGAAGGGGTCTCCTGGGCCATTGAGTCCTGCCCCGTGTTCATAGACAATTATTAACTGAAGGAATCTCCCAAGCAGTGTTGAGTACTGGAAGCAGCAGGGAGATCAGCCTTTCCTAGTTTGGGTGCAAATTAGTTGTTTTCCGATTCTTCCTTTTCTTTCTCTATAGAAATAGTGTCTGTGTTTCCCACCTCTGGAAGCCTGGGTGGAGGGACTCGTCTCACTATTACAGGAGATTTCTTTGATCACCCCCTGAAGGTCACCGTTGCAGGTAACAATGTAGAATCAGGTGATAGATATTGCAGTAATGCAATGAAAGCTATAGCCCAAATCCTGTGCTTACAAACACCTGAGCCATTACAGGTACTGTGTCCGGGTTTGAGCCCCACACTTCAAGAAAGATGTGGACGGATTGGAAAGAGGTCAGTGGAGAGCAACAAACATGATTAGAGGCTTGGGAAACATGATTTATGCTGAAATCCTGGAAGAATTAGGTTATTTAGCCTGAGAGAAGACTGGGGGAGAGGCGGGGGGTTATCTGGTAAATCTTCAAAAATCTGAAGGGTGATTATAGAGAGGATAGAGATAAACTAGTTTTTTTGGTCATAGGGAACAGGATTAAGAGCTATGACCTCAAGCTGCTGTACGGGAAATTCAGGTTGGATATTAGGGGGAACTTTCTGACTATGAGGGCGGTCAAACATAGGAACAGTTTTCCTGGAGAACTTGTGGGATTTCCAGCCCTGGGAGTTTTCAAAGACAGGTTAGGCAGACACTTGGCTGGAATGGTTGAGTCCAGGATGATCCTCCCTTGATCAGGGAGTTGGAGTATATGCCCTCATGAGGTCCCTTCCATCCCTACTTTCCTATGACCCTGTGAGATGCTCAACTTGGCACAAGTTAAAAAGACCCGGTTCCCCAGCCATTTCACGGTCAGTAGCTATGACCCCAACCCCCCCCACTGAAGCTGGGTTGAAGCCAGTGGGATGACTGTCTTTATTCTTTTTAAGTCAAATGAATAGATGGCTGGTGGTATAAACTTGCTTCTATCTATGTAGGGTGATGATGCTCTTTTTGAAGACCAGACGAATGAAAATGTTGAAGCAGGGATTTGCTGACCTCACCTAGAATCAAAGTTTATCCCATAAACAGCCTGGGCTTGGATTCATGTTATCAAGCCTTGTGCTCATTATTCAGGCACCTCTGTTTTTCAGGTGTTCCCTGTGAAAACGAGTACATTTCTCCCTGGAAGATCATATGTATCACTGGGCCAGTTGACAAGACCAGAAGACTCTCTGCACCCCAACCAGGTACAGCAATTTCAGGCTCAAACTGGCAAACAGATTTGCTGCCATTTGTAAATGGGGTGCAGCAACTTCCTTGGTGGTGGCGAGAAGGGCAAAGCCAGAGTTATCCCGGAGTTACTGATACTGCTCCATGTGGGGTTCCATAATTAGATTGACTTCTAGGTTTGATCACCAACCTCCATAGTTAGCTTGGGAGTTTCTGACCATAGAACAAGGACCCTCCATATTAACCTAGCAAAATTATTTGCTTTTGGCCTGGACCCTATGAGCTTGGCCATTCCCAATAAGTCTCCCTTATTTCCTAGGGATCGTATCTTTTCTAATTCCTCTTGGCTCTTCCTAGGAATTCTCTGAATGATTTCCTCTTTCCTTCATTGTTCCTTTCAGCTGCTTCATTCATCTCACCTCAGTTGGGGATTTCTAGGCATATTATCCTCTGAAGGCTATTAACAGATAAGGTTCTTTGGGTAAATGTGATATCTTTTATTAGACTAACTAAATAGTTGGAATAATTGGTCTTTGCAAGCTTTCGGGCACAAACATCCTTCTTCAGGTATACAGGAGAGCGCACACACAAAAACAGACTTTCCCTATGCCTGAAAAGGGTGTTTGTTCCCAAAAGCTTGCAAAGAACAATTTTTTTTCCCAACTATTTAGTCAGTCTAATAAAAGATATCATATTTACTTAAAGGACCTTGTCTGCCTATGTCCTTAGACCAACATGGCTACAGCCAACAATTCTGGAGGCTATTGGTCTTTCTCTTTCTTTATTGGAGGGGATTTTATCAATTGAGGCACAGCCTTTGCAGAATTCCTACACTATCACTTAAATGGATCCCACTCATGGGCCCAAAGATATCTTTTTTCAAAGGTGCTGGTTGTTACCACTCACTGGGGGCACCTACACAAGATGCTTACTGAGAAATTGCCTGATTTAGCTCTGCGGTAAAGCATCTACCTCTACACGTGCAGAGCTATTAGGCCCGAGCAAACTCTGACATAGGTTAGTGCTGCCCGATACAAGTACTATCTTACGGGAGAGTTATTTAAACCACTGCAACTCACCTGTAGACGGACTGTAGCACCCTTGTGCCCCAGCCAGCCCCTCTGTAGCATACTGAGCTGTGTGAACGGCATCAGAGTTTGTGTTGTGCTAAATCCATGTCTAGATGTACCCACTAACATGTAATCTGTGGCATGCAGCATTTTTTTTTGTTGCTTTACCATCAATTCTTTCACATGCCATACTGCCCACATTAGCTTCTGCTGATATGGTTCTTAATTTTTAATTTTACAGGAAACAGAGGGCTTCTCTTTGAAGTCTGGGATGATACAGTAGACACTGGCCTAGCAGAAGCAACACCTGGGTATAGATGGCAATTTGTTCCCAATGCCAGCTCTCCAGCAGGATTTCTCTCTCAAGCAAAACAGCCATTCAGGTATTCATTGATGTTAAAAAGGATAGGAAGCCTTGGCATGTACTTATGTGTAAGAAGGAGCAACAACACATATCAGTTCTTTATAGAAGGTTTGACTGCATGGCTCCAGGTACAAGCGAACCTTTCCTCTCTGTGCTTGAACCTTTAGGTCAAAAAATATAGTGAAATATTTTATGCTAAATTTTGTTTCTTTGCTGGATCCCTCTGGTCTTCCTGGTTCTACCTAGGCAGGGCCAGAAGTGCTAAAGTACCACAAACAAGAGTGTTGCTATGATAGATCCAGCTCCATTAGAAACAGGAAGTACCATGTCTAACGAGACGCTGTCTTACATATGGATTTGGGCTAAATGTTGCGTGCAGACAAATCTGGAAATGCAAGCAGGACTAGACTCATAACAGTCAGGGTAGCTCTATGGAAGTTAATGGAGACAGATTGTGTGAATCTACATGTGCACAGTTACTGCACAGTAACCAAAAATTACTGCACAGTATGGGTGCGCATCTACACATGCGCACCCATACTGTGCAGTAACTATGGTGACTTATGCCAACGTGTGCATAAATTTGCTACCTGCATGATGAAAAGTAGCAAATTTACACCCAAGTAGTTACTGCGCAGTAAGGCACATGTAGACACCTTACTGAGCAGTAACCCTGTGTGTGTGGACTGACTTGGGACTAACTTTAGTCCCAAGTCAGTCCACACAGAGTTACTGCACTGTAATGCCTACACGTGTAGATGCCGGCATAAAAACCGCTTACTGGGCAACAATTTACTGTGCAGTAAATGTATGTGTAGACACTCATATTGATTTATATCTGTTGTGGATAAGGTTTTAGACTCCTAGGTGCCCAGGAGCTGAAGTTTTTGAGATTTCTCCCTGAGACCTATGCAAAATTCACTATTGTTGTTTTATAGACATATGCACAAAAATGTTCACCTTTTGACTGGGCAAATCCTTGAAGGAAAGGAGTATCAATAGCTATTAATCATGGGAGTTAAGGATACAGCCTCTGAATCATAATTTTCTAGAGCTTGAATGTTGAAAGCTGCAAGAGAGGAACAGTGGCAGTGGAAAAATCCCTGGTCATACCCAATGCACTTTCCCTTTCAGCATCGACTCTTTGCCACTGCGTGACACAGGATGCTAGGAAGGATGCATGCTATGATATGACCCAGTAACAGCAGTTCTTATTTGAATTTCACATGATTCTCATTTGAACCTATGCACCTTTTTGATCTGATTGCCTTTCCTCTTCCATATAGCGATGCTTTTTTTTTTTCCTAAACAAAATGGCTTATTGTTCCTGGGAGAGAATCTTCATTTTTCTTTGGAAATCTTTGCGTAACATAACTCATTTTCCTTGTCTTGTGAAAACAGGTAATCTTTTGTGTGTCTAGCACTTGCAAATGCTCTAGAATAAGTTAGTGTTGAGTTGCAACACCTTTTCCTCTTACCAGGGGGAGTCAGCTCTTTGTCAGGGATCGAGTGCTGACTGCTTCACGTGATGCAGATGTTCTTCTGCTACCTAGGTCACGACTTCGTGGGTTCTTTGTGGCACCACAGACAAATAACTACACCTTCTGGATTCTTGCTGATGGCAAGGCATCTCTGTACCTCAGCCTGACAGAAGACCCAGGAAGTAAGGTGTGTTGTTACAACAGCAAGAATAGGAAGTGAGGGATACAGAGGAACTCCATGGATGGGTATCACATGCTGGAATGTCTCACCATGCAAGCTGGACTCCTTAGGAGGCCTCATTCATGGGCTTTACTTTAGACCAATGCCACTGAAATCAATGCAGGTACACATGGTTCTCTGTGATGGTTTGGCCTTTCTCACCAGTTTTTGAAGGACTTGCTGCCACCTCCACAATCCTGCAAATCTTTCTTCCAGGGCATTTATAAAGTAACAGGAAACTCATAATTAACACAGGCTGTGAAGACTCAGAGGCCTTTCCTTCTTCTCCCAGTCCATCCCTGCTTCAGAGTTAGTGCCAGACCCAATATCCTTTATGCCGTTTCCACCCACAATGGGGCTCTCAGCCCCAACCCAATCCAAGTTGAGTCTAATACCCAATCAGAGACAGCTGGCCAAAACCAATGCAAAGGGACTGGTGTTGCAGGTGGCCCATGCTCTTATCTCAAGTAACGCTGAGCTGAGGGAGCAGCTTCTATGTCAAGACAATTTCTCATGGACGGGTGTCATTTCTCAACAGGAGGGGACTCAGTAGGGGCCTTATCTAATGGAGCATAGGGCTATTCATCTTCAAAGCAAATGGGGACTAGCTCTAGCATGCAGTGTCCTTCTGAGGTGGGCAAATTATGTAAGCTGGGGAAGAGGAGATATAGAATTGAAGGGATTTTTCCAGGAGCACAGGTGATTTTTTGTTTTGTTTTGTTTTAGTGATAGATTTAGACATGAGAAGTGCCTTTTTCCTCTTCCTAAGCACATTAATTTTAGATTCATAGAGTCATAGATTGTAAGGCCGGAAGGGACCTTGGAAGAGCATCGGGTCCAGCCCCCTGCACCAAGCAGGAAAGACAACTGGGGTCAGATGACCCCAGCAAGGTGACCGTCCAGTCTCCTCTTGAAGATTTCCAGGGTAGGCGATTGCACCACCTCTGGAGGCAGCTTCTTTCACAGTCTGGACACTTAACTGTGAAGTAGTGTTTCCTAATGTTGAGCCTGAATCGATCTTCCAGGAGTTTGTGGCCATTACTCCTGGTTTTCCCCTCAGGTGCCCTGGTGACCAGTTGCTCACCGACCCCTTGATGTACTCCGCTAGTGTGGCGGTAAGCTGCTACCAGGTCCCCTCTCAGCCTTCTCTTCCTAAGGCTGAAGAGTCCCAGATCCCTCAGCCTTTCCTCACATGGCTTGCCGTGTAAGTCTCTGATCATACGGGCTGCTCTTCTTTGGACTCTCTCAAATTTGTCCACGTTCTTGTTAACGTGTGGTGCCCAGAACTGGACATAGGACTCCAGTTGTGGTCTCACCGATGCTGAGTGGAGTGGAGGTATCACCTCCTTGGTTTTGCTGGAGATGCATTAGTTGATGCATGTCAGAGTATTATTTGCCCGGCCAGCTACAGCATTGCACAGCTGGCTCATATTCATCCTGTGGTCAGATCACAGCACTCTGCCAAGACAGGGTCTTTCCCTCATAGGATGGGAAGGAATTCCTCACCCATTGTCTGTTCCCTCTACACCATTTCAAGGCCCGAGTCCAGCAGAAAGAATTGGAGCTAGAAGCACTGCTCCGTCATCGTCTCATTGTTTTTTGTCTGAATGCAGATGCAAATTGCCTCTCTTCCTGCTGGTGTTTCCCAGTGGTCTGAACACTGGGAGAAGAACTGGAACCAAAGCTGGCAGCCAAAATCCCAGAAATTTGAGCTTACTGGTGGCTCAAGATACTACCTGGAAGCACTGCATCATGGGACAGCGCCCAGCACTGGAGTGAGAGTTGGGATTCAGCTGCACAACACCTGGCTGAACCCTGATGTGATTAATACCTATCACAGAGAAAAGCACGAGATCCAAGCCAGTGCTCACCAACTTCCAGAAATACAGGTCTGTGGCATGCCTGTGATCAGGTACCTTGAGTCTCTGTGTGGTGCTATTTACCACGTGTGTGCTGTAGCAAGTCCTTATTGTAAAGGCCCTGGTGTGTTCTTATCCTGTCTTAATGAATAGTGAAGTCATGATTATTTGCATTCAAACACATTAGGAAGCTGTGGTCAGCCCTTGGCTCCCAGAAGTTCCTTCCTTCATCCCTTAACATGTTAAATGTGCCTTGACTGCATTAGGATCTAACCCTGTTAGTTCATTCATGTTGACTAATACAGTTTTGGAACGGATTTATTTTCTTGGCTGATCTCAAAATGTTACGCTGTTGGATTTGGATCAGGTGATATTAAACGTTCACAGGAGGAAGGGATGTTCCGTAGCTAGAAGTTGGTTCTGGTGGTTAAAAGTCAAGACTAGGAATATGGCAACTGAGGGGCTGCTCCTGGATCTGCCACTGACTTGCTTGGAGATGCTGAATGAGTCTCTTTAACCACCCTGTCCTTGTTATCTGAGAACCAAAGCCTTATCACAAGAGACTGCATGGAGTGGTTAAAGGGACTCCTGCTGCTGACTTGCAGAGACTGAAAGGGATGAATAGCGATGACGTATAAAAGACCTCTTGCAGTACCTCCATTAGAAGAACCATAAGAAACTTCTTGAGATCTTTGTACCTCACATACACTGTACCTGTTTTTCTTCCTATCAGATGCTGACTCTCTCTGGGACAGGATGGTTCAGTCTTTCCTGGGACAATATATCCAGCAACATGATATCCACAAATGCTACAGCTGACCAGGTGGGCATGATTAAACACAGGAAGCTAAAACCTCAGCTGGTATAAAACATCATAGCACCATTGAAACCAACAGCAGTATTCATAGCATGCCTATCTATGAAAGCTTATGTCTCGCTGAACCAGTTAATCCATAAAGGACCACTCTTGCCCGACCTTCTGCCTAACTTCAGACTAGCCTGGCTAACCACCTCTCTTCATGAAAGTATGGGTGGAAACATGCTTTTTGTTGCACTTAATATACCATATGCCATTATGGTATATGCCATTATGCCACCATAACCATATGCCATTATGCTATTATATGCCATTATACCACCATAACCATTTTTATGGGTCACAAAGTGAAAGCGAATAAATGTCCATACCTTCTGAAAACCTGTCTCAGTTGGTGACCCGTCCTAGAGGCTGAGACCTCTTGCCATATTCTCAGTTATGCTTACAATTACTGGGAATGCTTTTGAAAAGCGGTTTTTGTGGGGAAACTCTCAGCTGCTGGGACCTGCAACTGCATCTTATCTAGTCCCCCTCATGTTCAGAGTGAAATGCAGAGTGTTAGATAATTGTCTATCAAAATGGACATTCTGATACTTGACCATAGGGTCTTTCCCATGCAAGAACATAGACCATGAGAGTCTTTGTATCCCTAAAATGAACTGTGAGCTAGTCTTGTCAAAGTCTGTGATCTCAATTTTATGAAACACAGCAATGACTTAGAAGCATCTCAGACCAATCAGCTACACAATGGACCATAAAAAGGGTTGCATCCTCAACATGGTTTTATTTTTCCTTTCTGTAGGTCCAAACAGTCATAGAGGAGCTTCTTTCAGTAAAATGTGACACTGAGCCATCGTCTGCTAAATTCCTTTTCCGGAATGGGTTTGAGAACGGTAAATACCTACTAAAATAAAGATGATTCCAGTGCAGAGTAACAATCAATGTATTGCAATAATGAATTTTTCTGTTTACATAGGAAACATGACATCTTCAGGTGGCATGGTTAGCTCAGTAAGGCTATGCTAATACCACACAGGTATGAACATAAAGATGGGGAAGTCCAATGCATTTAGTTGGCCAAAAGCTGAAAACTAGTAGATGTTAGATGGCAAAGGGAAGGGTCCCACATTTTAGCTCAAAAGCCTACTGCTCAACGCACTTGCCTACAGAGCAGAAAACACAGGTTACAATCCCCCTTCATTCAGAGGGGTTTGATGTCTTGTCCTTCCCATCAAAGGATGCAGGTGAGACATTACCCAGGCCCATCTCCAGGTGTCTCCTTGAAGCTGTTCTCCCAAAGACAGCCAAGAGCAGAAGATACATGGAGCCAGAAGGAAGAGGATATGTTGGAGGCTGTGGGGCTCAGTGGGAAGAAAGCTGCCTGGGAAAGAAAGGGGCCCTGGATTCTAGGATGCTACCAATAGGGCAGAAACTTTCCCAGTCCTTTTTTCCAGTAGATATTAAATGCAAGGTACACTGCACCAGGTTGAAAAGGCCTGGAGAAGAGAAGTTCAAGACGACTGGAAGAGTCCAAATGCAAAGCAAGACAAGCAGACTAACTGCAAACCTGCTAGCTTAATGTTAATCTCGGGCAAAAGAATGAAAGAGCCCCTAAAGAAACGTAATTAATAATCAACAACATGGTGATTATGTGTATCAGGATATAATTGATGCCAATGAATATGGCTGCATGGAACATGGCTCTTGTCAACACACCTAATTTCCTTTTTTCATGATATTTTGATGAGATTAGTTTGGTAATGGTGACTGTACAGATACTCAGACTCTGCTAAGACAGCTGTCTTGGTAGGGGAGGAATCCAGGTTGGTCACGTAGTACCCCCAACTAACTATTTAGCACTGGGGAGGCCTCACCTGAAGTGCTATGTCCAGTTTAGGCCCCACACTTCAAGAAGGAGGTGGACAGTTTGGGAAGAGTCCAGTGTAGAGTAACAAACATGATCAGAGACCTTAGAAACATGACTTATCAGGAAAGGCAGAAAAAGAAGAGACGAATGAAGGGTCCTCCTGGCTGTGGTTATGTCAAAACATGGGTCCCACCTAAACCCCTTTTTAACTTCCAAGGTATGTAGGGCAAAACATTAATACTACAGTTGTGATGAGAAGCCTCTTTGTCTTAAGTCCTTTAAAAACACAAGGTCAGAGTCAGCCCCTGGCAGCAGTTTGGAGCCTGAGTGCAGAAGGGAGTTACAGAGTTATCCAAATGGCAGCTTGTGGCCCACATGCAGCCTGTGAAGGGTTTAACTGTGGCCTGAGTGGGTGAGTGGGTGTTGAAGGTGCTGTATTAGTGCAGCTTCCAAACCTAGGGGGTGAATGCCACTGCCGCTTCTTCCCTCCCACCCCCACCACTGACTTCCTTACCAGATGCTGAATGTGGGGTCCTTGGTCCCTGTTGGTGACTCAGATCAGTGAGGTGTGCGAGCAGTGGCAGTGTAAATTCCCTGGGGTCCAAAGTCACACCAGTGCAGTGGCTCTGGCACCCATGCTGAGAAGCTACCAGTGCGCTGCTGGAGGTGAGTCATCCAGCCTCTGAGGAGCCCCCGGGGCTGGATTTGGCTCATGGGGTCAAATAAATTGAGCAGCCCTGGAGGATGCCTGAACTCTAGGTCTGAGGGGATTCAAGTTGCCACATAAAGGCTGTCCAAACTCTACGTGGCTGAGGGCCACATGCCCCTCATGCCACATTAACAGGGGGCACACTGGCAGGAGCTGCACGTCCCTCTGCCCATAGTGCACTGCACACCCAAGGTGCCCCTATCTGTGGATTGTGTGTCCTGGGTGCTCCCCACTCCACCCCACATCCCCCTGTTGCACAGCATACTTATGCCTGTTCCACCATGCACCCTGGTTTCCCCACACTGCACCATGTGTCCCCCTGTATCACCAGAGTGCCCCAAAGGATGACAAGGTCAAATGGTCACAAACTCCTCCATGACCAATTCAGGCCGGACATAAGGAAAAGCTTCTTTACTGTCCGAGCCTCCAAGGTTTGGAATAGACTACTACTGGAGGTGGTTCAAGCACCTACTTTGAATGCCTTCAAGACACATTTGGATGCTTTTCTTGCTTGGATCCTATGACCCCTGCTGACTTTCTGCCCCTGGGGCGGGGGGCTGGACTTGATGATCTTCTGAGGTCCCTTCCAGCCCTAATGTCTATGAAATCTATGAAGTGTACCCCGCTGCCTCTGCTTCCCATGCCCTCCACTGCAGTGTGAACCCAGGCACCCCCATGCTGCACTGTGTGCAGGGCAACCCCGCACTACGCCATGCCCCCAGGTGGCTCAACTCGACCTTAGCTCTCTGGCTGTGAGCTCCTCCCCGCACCACCCCTCATAGCACAGTGCCACTCAGGCGCCCTGGGCTGCAAGCTCCCCTGGCACTAAAGTCTGGGCTGCATTGCACCTCCCCACCCCCTGGGGCAGGGGTAGGGGCAGGGGCAGAGGCAGGAAGGGAAGCCCAGAGCCCTTGGCTGCTACTTCAGCTGGAGCAATGGGGAATGCAGTGGCTGGGCAAGTCCTTGGAGGCTGCAGTTTAACCCTTTGCACATGTGGTCTGTGGGCTGCCAGTTGAATTACAGAGTAAGGTAAATGAGGGTATTTTCCACCCCTTATATTAAAGTTTGCTGACTTGGAGCAAAGATTGAAAGTCATGGGGCAAGAAAGAGAAAGAACAAGAGGGCACTTGACAGAAGCCTAATGTTTAAAGCCTCAGCTCAGCTGGAGGAGATCGGGGTCCAGGTTCTATCAGGGTTTTGGTTTTTCATCTAATGACTGTATAATGTAATGCGCATCACGCTGTCTATCAAACGGGAACAAAACTAGAATGATATTCACCAGAATGTGCGTGTTCACTGCCTACCTTGAACGTTTGCCATGCAGCTGCTTTCGAGATTGTTTCCAAACCTCTAACCCCTTTTCATTTTTACCAGTGTCAGATCAGAAGGACTTCTCCACTAAGGGTTATGTAGTCAGTGGTGTGGAGCCCTTTTGTGGAAGATTCAGCATTTGCAGCCCAAAGTATCTCGTAAGAACACCCCCATCAACTTTACCAAGATATGATGTCACTGAATTCACACACGTGAGTAGCCTCTGTGACAGAGTGCCTTAAAAATGGCAGCAGGGACCTGAAAGTGGAACACAACCTTGGCCTCAATAGCTGAGTCTTTGCCCCTCTTACACCCCAAAGTACATGTCTCGTCTCTGAAGTGCGATCCTGTTTCACCCAGGGAGATGAACATACCTCCCCCATTCTCTCAGTGCACAGCCCTATCCATTTTCATCATGCCAGGGGCCAGCTGGCTCCCCAATGCTGTTTACGCATTTTGCTTTAAATAATCACTGGACAATCATTGGGCACAAGAATCAGATTAAGGCACAAAGAAGTGAAGTGGCTTATTCACAGTCAGGTAGGGAGTCTGGGTAGAGCTGGGAAGAAGAATCAAGTCATCTGATTCTCAGTCCATTTTTTTCCCTGACCTTCTAGGTATTGCACTAGACTGTGGGGTGTAGTGTACTGGGTGGAGACTCAAGGGGACAAGGGTCTATTTCCAATTGTTGATAGCCTGCTTGTGACCTCTGGAAAGGCACTTCACATACCTGTGCTTCAGTTTCCCCATCTGTAAAATGGAAACGATACCTTCTCTGTAAAGTGCCTTGCGATTCACTAACAAAAAGCATGATACAGGATCTCACTATGAATATTCCCGCTTCTCTAAGGAAGAGAGGGTAGTTCATTTCTTTAAGCGTTGAAACCTTTGAGCTTTCTGCTGGTCCCATCAGCAATGGAGCTGTGTCAGTCATGGGTTTTATGGTGTGAACACCTGTCCATGAAAGTTGGATACATAGCCGTAACTTTTTTCACCCAAGTTATGAAACGGAGGTCAGAAGGAAATCATGCTTGATCTTTCTTGGATTTGAACCCCAGTCTAATTTCTTTTTCTGGACTAATGTGTTCCTGGTTTGTTCTCCTTCTCTAATGTCACAGGTATGCTTTGCATATAAAGGTTATATCAGCAACACCCTTCATGTTTTGATGTCCTACAGCAACGCCTTTCTACGTACAGTGAAGAAAAATCTTACTTGCCATTGGAGTCCTCAAGAGAACAGCCTGGAAAGGTATTCAAAACATACTTATAGGCTACATGGGTCGAATAAATGACCCTCCCTTCACCCTGTGACTATGTGTAGCAAATCCGTTGTCTGCAGATGTGTTGCAATTCGGGCAGATTCTCAGCTGGTGCAGACAGATATAGCTTCATTGAAGTCAACGAAATTGTAGTATCAGTACATTCCCGCATGAATAAGTTTAATGGTGTATGTAGACTGCTCACTGCTATGCCATCTTTAACTTGCTGCTCTGTCCTTAACGACAGCAAAAACTTGAAACAATGAATTACAATCACATCGAGTTTTAAAGGACTAGTCACACTGAGTATATCCAGTTGACTTTGGAGGTTGGTCTATGCAGTGAATACTGCCAACAGCCCTGCTTCAACATGTGCTAGATTCTGTGTCAGACCAGAGGTGTGTGTGTTCACCAGGGGAAGCCATTCCTTTGGAACAAATGCAGTTCTCTTTGGGTATTCAGTGAGAATCTCTTGAGCATGGCAGTCGCTCTGTTAAATTTTAAAGTACTGTACTGACTGGTCTTCAGCCCCATGCACACGGTAAATTTATTATATGATTAACATGTTAATCTGCCACAAATAGTAACAATGCCACACATTTGACCAATTTATGGCACCATAAAGTGGAAAACCAGCCACAAAGATATTCTGCATAAAAGGTGGAACATCTTTGTGGCTGGTTTGTGTGACGCCGTAAATTGGATGTGTGGCTTACTCCCATCCTGATGCTGACATTCGGCTTGTTATCAGCATTGGTATTGGGACTGGGATTAACACTGGGGCTGAAGACAAAGTTCCCAGCAGAGGAGAGATGAGAGCCTCTACCAGCCAGGAACCTTGCAACCCCCTTGCCTGGCTGTCCTTGCTGCCTTGTCCAGCAGCCCCCAACTTTGCTCTGCAGTAAAGATGCTCGGTTCTAGGGAGCCCCAGTTGTATGCTATTGCTTCAAATGCAGGAACTGGCACAAAGGATTATGGCAAGAGTGAGCAAAACATGACACAAATGTAGAAAAAGGAAACACAAAATGTCATCATAGGCTATTTTCCCCCCTTATCTTCAGAGTAAGAGAAATGCTGATTAGCGCAGGTTTTAGCACTAGTGACATCAAACAGTCAGCAGTTTCTATTTATCAGGAGAGGGGTGTGAGCAAGTAGTATGGCCATGCAGATGCATTTATTTTTTGGACCACATGATTTACTAGGTACAGACTTTGAGTTCTTGGCCAGGGGTTGATGTGGCTGTCATTGTCGCAACACGTTGGAGTCCTAGTATGAAAGGCAAAGGTGGAAACCAATCTTTCTATCACATGCCAAACACCCCAAAACATTTCAGTCTTGCTTAAAACAATTTGAACATGAGAATGTCCTTTTTCACTGCCACGTGGCACCCTGTGTGTGTGACAATTCTTCTGGACTAATGTACAGAGGATTCAAGGCTGTTATAGTCCCAGCAAGGGCCTCAACTGTACCAACCTCCCATGGTGGTGGTCTCAGGTTCAGTGTCTAATGCGTTGGCCAAGATAGTAGCCCTTACACCAGCACTCATTTAGGATACTTAGGCAGCTGTCCAGATAGGTGATGGATTGCAATGGCTCTTATTAAAATGTTTTAATACCTCTCAGCTGGGAGTTTACATGTGTTGACCTATGGAGGAGCTGTGTGAACAACTCTGAGCTCCTCTTAGACCTCCAAGCAAACTCAACAGTGCTGGTGCATCAGATTGTCCTGCTGTTCCCTGAGGTAGATGAGGAACCATCTGGAAAGTTTTACCTTGATGAAATAATCATCTCGGACAGACAAGTAACTGGTAATTTCATCACTCTCTTATTGGGAATGTCATTTGAAGCACTATCAGAATATCCATGGTCATCAATGGAGCTGCTCTGAATCTTTTTTTGGAGAAAAAATAGTTTCAAAGAACCTGAAATTGGAGTTTTGTGAAAAAAAAAATGTTGGCTTTTTAAAGAAAACTAACTTCTTGGCATTCTAATTGATTTTTTTAAATTGAAAACATTATCAACATAGCTCTCATTTGCTGCAAATCCTGGAAAGAAACATTTTAATAACTTCCTGGATAAAAGAAAAACAGATGTAAAATTTATGAAAAAAAAAAAAAAGATTGAGAAAACCTAACAAGAAGTGGGTCTGCTTCCAACTCCATGGAATTGAAGCTGCTTAGGAAACAAGCCAAAATTGTTCATCCCTAATCAAACCATATTATTATTTTCCTTTCAGTTTTCCAAAGGGATCCCAAACCAGCTCGTCCAGAGGGGAATATTATAGAAGCAGTGTCTGTGGTTGGGTCACACCCCATCTACAATGTGTCCTTGCTGGTGGCCGGCTGTGGTGGGCATCTCCCTCTTTTCTCACTAAGGTATGGACTGATTGCAGGTTGTCTCACGTCTACTTATTGCCAAGGTCCTTGCACCTCATTTTAAAGCATTTGGTACTAGCTACTATCAGAGGCAGTATAATGGGATATAGGGACCTTGAACCTGATCCCGTCGGGCAAGTCCCACATTTCTGTCCCTTGTGGAGGAATAATATTTTCTGTTTTTGTTCTTTCTCCATTGAATGCCCAGTGTGCAGGTCTTCCCCTGCCCTAGCAATTCGAGGAGAGGATTCAATGTCACCAGAAATATCTACTTGCTAATAGGGAGGCAGGGAAAATGGAACAGCAAGAACGGTAAGCCATTGAGATAAGGGAAAATAAAGAGGACCAGAGTCAGATCGGTGGATTCAAGTCCAAGATTGCTGGGCTATTCATAGATTCATAGATGTTAGGGTCGCCACCTCCCTTGGGAGCCCGTTCCAGACCTTGGCCACTCGAACTGTGAAGAAGTTCTTCCTAATGTCCAATCTAAATCTGCTCTCTGCTAGCTTGTGGCCATTATTTCTTGTAACCTCCGGGGGCGCCTTGGTGAGTAAAAACTCACCAATTCCCTTCTATGCCCCCGTGATGAACTTATAGGCAGCCACAAGGTCGCCTCTCAACCTTCTCTTGTGGAGGCTGAATAGATCCA